CCCTGAAGCTCTCTTTCTAATAGGTATGTGTTAGTCCATATCGTCAATTGCTTTTTCTGTCCTCAAGTTCTTCTCTTTGGCTTTAATCCATGGTTCCTTTGCTATCATTTCTTTCTCCCCTCTGCATCATTACTCCTTCTTTCCTCAATTATCACATCCTTTCTTCCTTATTTATTTTATGAAGTGCTTTTAAGTAAGTGACAGAAACAATGCACCAGTCAGCTAAAAACAGCAAAATGTCTAGACACATGTCTCTGTCTATATGTCTTCCTATCTGTCTGCTTCTCTCTGTCTCTGTTTCTATCTCTTTGATTATATATATATATATATATATATATATATATATGACATATATATAGATATCATATAATATTACAACATATAATATATACTATGTAGAGCCTATTGTCTTAGTTATATTCTTGTCATTGGAACAATATGATCCACAAATTAACAAAAAAGAGGGATATTAAACTCACAGTCTATGAGATTTCAGTACATAGGCAGGTCTCCAAGACAAGATGACATGGCAAGAAGACTTGTTTAAGGTATGGCCACCAGGAAAGAGGGAGGTGAATAGAAGAGAGGTGTATAAATAAACAGGCCGCATTTCCCATGCCCTCCAACTAGTCTACATCTTCCAACGTTATATTTAGTTATACACTCATGAGTAGACTAATCCATGGATCAGTATTATGCTATCATGACACAGTCACTTCCCCAAGCCTCACCTATGTGAGCATGAGGCTTTGGGGGAAACATTCAATTATAAACTATAACAACTAGGTATTACAGATGATTATATCTATGCCTATATCTCTAGCTGTATCTGTATATCTTATGTAATATAGATTCATGTATCACTAAAATTACAAGTTTATTTGTTTTGGTATTTGGTATAAAAATAAATAGCTAAAAAAAAACTTGTTGTAACCTAACTTGTAATTTTACAGAAATTACTGTGCAAAAACTTTTTCTTAAATTAGGAAATAAAGTAAGAACAGCTAAATTTTATTTTCTTGGAGAAAAATGAACTGTGAACTTTTGATTAAGCAAAAAAAAATCCATAATAGAATCCTAAAACTTGCTTTATCTGTATTTTTGACTGCTGTATGCAGTAAAATTTTACCAAGAGGAAAAAAAAAAAAGATTATTGAATTTCCTTTTCCATGAAAAAAATCTATTCTCACCTTGTGAAATACAGCAAAATAGTCAAAAGGTAGAGAGTAAGTGGGAAAGGACAAGAAGGAGGAAAAAAAAAAAAAAAAAAAACTAACCTACTTGCTAGCTTTCCCATCCCAGGGTAGCAGTGCTTTGACAGTGTGTGAAGTTATCAGTATTCATACGTGACAAGCTGAAGCCCAAGAAGCCAGAATACGTTCCTTCCATAATGCATCTGCAGGAACATGAAAAGAATTGGAAAAGACTAAACTTGGAAAAGTCCTTGCTTTTCTGAGATGTCCAAATGATTCCGTCTATAGCGTCCTAGATTTGGAAGTGCTGCTTTTGCCTTAGGTCTATTTATTTCATTTTTTGTTTTGTTCTTATGATTTCAAAACATGATTAGAGCTTACAGTGAGAGATGCATTGGCTCAGAGAATTTATGCTTTGGTTTCAGGAAAGAAAATATTATTTTCCATCTAGATGAAGTATATCCTTTATATTAGGTAGAAATAAAAACAACTATGGAAGAAAGAAAAAAGAAGAGAGAAAGGAACTGAAAGTTAACTAATTAGGAAAGAAAAAAGCAAGAAAGAGAAATGGGGAGAGAGAAGGAGAGAACCGAGGGAGAAAGAATAGAGAATGATTCTGATAAAACAAAACAAAATAAAATATAAAGACTAATCAACTTCTAATTCCAGAAATTTATTATCTTCTCTTTCTGAAACCTGGGAAGTCTAAGATCCACACATCAGCATTTGGTGAGGGCTTTTTTGTGTGTGATCCCATGATGGAAAATTAAACAAAGAGGAAGCAAGAGCAATGAAGGATAAAGATATCCCTTAAAAGAAGGCTAATCCCACACTAATGGAATTAACTCATTCATTACTGAAACCCTCACAGAGGGTTCAGGTCTCCAGCCAGCAATGTGGTACATGGTTGAAAAAAGGCAAAGAGAGAGAGAGAGAGATCTGCAATTCCAAGGGCCTCTGGGATGACCTCAGTGGAATAAAGAGTGTTGCTAGTGGAACAAAAGGGCCAGGATTCCAAATGCACACGGCTTTTATTTGTACCAATCAGGAAGGGGGTCATGGCAGAGTGCAGGTAAGAGTAACTTTGCAGCCATGGCAAATAAGGAAAAGCAGAACACTCTTGCAGCAGGCACAGAGGCCCTCCGATCAGTGATACTGCAGATAACTTAATGTATGCAAGGATGACACATTGACTGCTAGGAAGTTATATTTTTTATGCATATCATGGCTTCAGCTGAGATCCTATCTCATGTCTTAGTCCTGGAATCTCACAGGCTTCTGCTTTAGCTCCCATTCCAGTCATCAGAACTAGGGTTGTTTTCAACTACAAGCTGCCACTTTCTATGCTGAGATTCACAGGCACTTTCACCAAACTAGATGGCACTCTTTTGATCAGTTAAGGGAACATCTGCTTCTATATCGCCAGATCTGCAAATCTCAGCAAATAAGATTGAAGAGTTAAGGGAATGATGAAGAGAAAGAGCTTCATTTTCAGGGAAACACAGCTTGGCAGTCTCCCACATCACATGAGGATGGTACTCCTAAGATCTGTGTACCTCCTTTCAAGACCTCTTTCCCAGAATTTCTGCATTCTGAACCATACTTCTTTCATTAGAGTTTTGCGTGACATATTCAAAGCATAGAACAAAGTTAATAATTTAGGATTTTATTCAGTGCTTTCACTGTATGAAATAATTAAAATAGTATACTTTGCTATGTTTTGCCTTTTGTTCTGGGTCAGTAGGATGTGACTGCAATAAGAATATGGAGCAAATAAAGCTTATTTATGTGTCAGTAGCACAAATATCAAGGCATGTTTTGTATAACTCTGCCTCTGCAGCTTGAGAGCTAAAACTTCCTTATTGAAATGCTCAGTTTAAGCTTTTAGTTTCACTGCAAGATAACTGATTGGAAGATATTTCTTTAATATTTTGTATTTTGTAAAGCACTTAAACACCAAAAGCCTGTGATCTCCTGGCTTTTCACTGGAAATTTAGTATGTAGCTTTTAAGAAAATATACAGGGCTCAGGCAAGCTGGCTCAGGCAAGTATTTAATAGGATGAGTGGGATAGAGAAAAATCATGTAATATTTTAGATGGTCTAAGACTCCATAAGGAAAGATAAGTAAATGCTATTAGAGAAAATAAAGAGTTACTTAATTTATGTGAAAAACTAAGAAAGAGGTAATCTTAGAAAATTTTTTAGAAATGTGTTAATGCAAAAGATAGCTGGGCAGTGACCAAAATTTGATGTGTAATATAAGTAACTACTTTGAACATTTTCAATTATTTTAATGATTATTTAAACTGATTAATACCCAGTTTGAGCAGTATTCTGAATAAATTATTTAGGCAGTAGTGTTCTAAAGTACTGAGTAAACTTTAGGTACTTGACTGACATACGCAAATGTGCTAAATTACGAATTTTAGAAAAGCATAATAACAGATTCAATTTGGAATGATTTTTGTGAAAAATACACAGCACTGTGTTGTAAATGAAATCATATGCTGAAATCTATGCTGAGATTCACAGGCACTTTCACCAAACTAGATGGCACTCTTTTGATCAGTTAAGGGAACATCTGCTTCTATATAGCCAGATCTGCTTGAGTCTAATGAATCATATAGCTTGAGTCTAATGAATCTGTCGTAAAACCTCAACATGGAATTAATATTGTTTGTTTTTCATGTGAAAGAACTGTAGATTACAGTGTCAATGCAATTTTTCTCCTCTTTCAGCTAATATTAAAAAATGCTGAAAACCAGAAATTATGTGATTACTAGGCCAGTACTTTGCCTTCACTATTTTACTGAGATATTCAGCAAGTCAAAAGTTTGAAAAATATAATGAAGTAGGAAAAAAAAAAAAAAACTTAAATTGGTCCCATGATTATCTTGACAAGACCAAATGTTGATGACAATATACTTTAACATATTTAACTCTTACTGAAATAGCTTGTTTAAATTTTAAAGAGCTTACTTGTTTTAATGACATATTTTTCAACTATTTTATTGAGTAGCCATTAAAGATTTTCTTTTAAAAAATATGTTTTAATAGTATTTTCCATCTCCAGGGGTAATTGCACATTTCATGTTACTTTATCTCTAGGTTTGAAAAATGTTGCTTGAAAAATTCAGTTGTTCATTTTTCTTTACTCCATAATACTCAGGGTTCCTATAACACTATTGATCTTTGAAGCATAATGAATGAGCTAATGAAACAGTGAATGAGTAAATAAAATAAAATTTCATAACAAAATAAGAGAAATAACAATAGTTATTACATGGTGCATCATTACCTTACATTTTATATGCCATAATTGTACCATTTAGTGATAAAGCTTATTCCTATTGTTGATAATCACTGAAAAGCAATAATCAAGCTTATACTCACAACCATATTTTCAATGCATAATATGGTGGCATACTATCGCTTCAAAACATAAAATCCTATCCCATCTTTAGAATGGATTCTAGTACCAATTCCCCAAAATGAATAAGACTATTATGTATTACAAACATATACTGTAGGACCAGGGATATAGCCCAGTGGCACAGTGCCCACCCAGAAAGTACAAGATATTGAGTTCAATTCTTGGTTAAAAAAGAAAAAAAGAAAATATTTTCTATAAAAACGAAACCAGAATAGGAGTATTCCAGCTTAAAACAAATGTTGCTAACATAATGTCTTTTGTAGTGACAGATTTAAAACACACATGAATACACACACACACACACACACACACACACACACACACACACGAAAGCTTTGTATTTATGTAAATTGTTTTTGCTTTGTATTTCTAGAACGTCAACCTACTGGCTCAACCGCATCCAGTCTTTTCTCTACTGCAACGAGAATGGCCTGTTGGGCAGCTTTTCCGAAGAGACGCACTCCTGCACCTGTCCAAACGACCAGGTGGTCTGCACTGCCTTCCTGCCCTGCACTGTAGGCGACGCCTCCGCCTGCCTGACCTGCGCACCTGACAACCGCACCCGCTGTGGCACCTGCAACACTGGCTACATGCTAAGCCAGGGGCTCTGCAAGCCTGAAGTCGCAGAGTCCACTGATCACTACATTGGCTTTGAGACTGACTTGCAAGATCTGGAGATGAAATACCTGCTGCAGAAAGCAGATAGACGAATCGAAGTCCATGCCATTTTTATTAGCAACGATATGCGCCTCAATAGCTGGTTTGACCCTTCTTGGCGCAAGCGGATGCTCCTCACCTTGAAGAGTAACAAATACAAGTCAAGTCTAGTCCATATGATCCTGGGGATTTCTTTGCAGATTTGCTTAACTAAAAATAGCACCTTGGAGCCAGTGTTGGCTATTTATGTAAATCCATTTGGGGGCAGTCACTCAGAGAGCTGGTTCATGCCTGTGAATGAAAACAGCTTTCCAGACTGGGAACGGACTAAGCTGGACCTCCCTCTGCAGTGTTATAATTGGACACTGACTCTGGGGAACAAATGGAAGACATTTTTTGAGACAGTACACATCTACCTGAGGAGTCGCATCAAGTCCAGTGGCCCAAATGGCAATGAGAGCATTTACTACGAACCTTTGGAGTTTATTGATCCTTCGCGGAACCTGGGTTACATGAAAATCAACAACATCCAAGTATTTGGCTACAGCATGCACTTTGACCCTGAAGCAATTCGGGACCTGATTTTGCAACTGGACTACCCCTATACTCAGGGATCCCAGGACTCAGCACTTTTGCAACTTCTAGAAATAAGAGACCGTGTAAATAAACTCTCCCCACCTGGTCAGCGTCGTCTAGATCTTTTCTCTTGCTTGCTCCGTCATAGACTCAAGCTCTCTACTAGTGAGGTGGTGAGGATCCTGTCCGCTCTGCAGGCGTTTAATGCCAAATTGCCAAACACAATGGATTACGACACGACCAAATTATGTAGTTAACCGTAATTGTCAAGCACAACCCAAAATCTTGAAGGAGTTTTTACAGTGCTTTTGTGGAACAGTTTATGTTTGGAAGAGTAAATTTAAATTGTCTTTTCAATATCTGTCTTATATCAGTCGATAACATTGGATGGCAATCTACACACATGAACCTGCTGACAATGAATATATTATACTGAATTTTTGGTTTATGAATGAAATAAATACTGACACCAGTCTAGAAGACATTCTACTTTTTACAATAAATTTCATTTGTAATTTTATATGTTCCGTGGCAATGCTTTTGTGCATTACATCCTCTAAGGAGTACATAACAAGACACCAATAAAATTTTGTAGCTGAACAGTTATTAAAAAGAAATGCTGTGGGGTTCCTTTCTTTTCCCATGAAATGAGTTCTATTTTGATATATTTTGTTAGAACCTGGGGAAAAAATCATCGAGATTTTTTAATGAAAGCACCTGATGGTCCTTTTCAATTACCTTTATGGCAAACCCAACTAGGTACAATGCTTAGTAGTCAGGTTTTTAAAATTTTTTTATGATTAATAGCATAATGACAGTATATGTTTATTACTTATATTTAGATACCAATTCTAGAAAAAAAATCATTAAAATAATGAGATAAACTTATTCCCAAGAACATATCAGCACATTTCAGCAAGCATACAGAAAAAAAAAAAAAAAATGTGATTAGAAAGCATGTCGTGGAGAAAGTAAAGCTCTAATTTCCTCAGAAACTTGCTTTGTCATTTTCTTTTTCATAATAACCAATAACATACTGTGCACAATCACTTTCACTTCATGCCTGAAAAGTTGTTTATTCAAGAACTTTTCCAATGTCACTAAAATAACACTTATAGAATTCACAAATTGCCATATAATTACATAAAATAAGTGTTCAGATAACTACTTCAAATGTAAATAGATAATTTTTCTCAGAAAAACTAAGAAAAAGTTAACTTTTTGAGGCCTAGTATCTAGATTATATAAAGAAATCAAAACAAATTGACCCTCTCAAAATATTAAAATACTTTGAGGAAAAGCTTTAGAAGTCAAACATTTTAATTCAAAGAATTCTCATGAAAGTTCTCAGACTGATGAAATTACAGACATATAAATAACACTTTTTACTAATATATTTGTGTTTTACTTTTATTTTCATATTTAGCTATGTAAGTATAATGTGTTTATGCTATTTACCAAATATTTCTTGTCTAGATATATTTTTATCTTGCCAAGTTCATTGCCAATCTTTCAAGATCATGAAGGCTTTTCTGAAAGCTTAGAGAAAGGAATCCAGTACTATCATAAAGGGAAAAAGATAATTGACCAAAAAATTTGAAGACATACTAAATTCTTGGACTTCTTGTTCTCAGTTCCAAGGAATTTTAAGAACAAGACATATTTGGAGCAACAGGCAAGCACTTACCCAATTTGCTATAAAGAAAGATTGTTCTGCTACTTAATATCTAGGTAGTTGAATTCTTTATTATAATTAACTGTTTTTGCTTTTTTACTACAATTTCTGCTGTATATATTAAACACCATCTCTCTAGTATCATAGGAAACGGTCTTTTTTTTTTTTTTTTTTCTTTTACACTGACCATACTGGGTTTTAAAATACTTCTTCATTTTATGGTGGAAAACAACAGTTCTGAGTGGTTCATTAAGTTCCTCACGATCATAAACAACGAAGTTAAAAGCTCAACCCAAATATTTCAGTAATGAATCTGTTCACTTTTCACTGACTTGCTAAATTTTAAAGTAAGTATTTCATTTCTTCATTCAATTTGCTTACATATGGAGGCTTTTAATGGCACATGAAACATCTAATAAATTAATATCAGCATCAACTAAATTATAAAATAATGTCTCATGATACATCTGAAAATTAAAACCAGCTCTTATCATCCACAATCATTCACACAATGGCCATGTTTATCAAATGTAGAAATACACTTTGGAAGACATTTACCATCAAAATCAGACTTGCCTACAGAAACATTTCCAAAAACATCCTGGCAGTACAACTGTTTTTCTGACATCTACAAATCATCTGAGCAAGATGGAAAGTACCAATACATTCTGAAAGAAGAAACAATTACTGTACTTACTAAATTTGTCAGCAGTGCTACCTCCTTTTTTGCACAGTTTATTCTACTGCCATCTAAAGTGGGAAAAAGTCCCACTATTAGCACAGATAAGAAGGTGCTTATCTACTACTTTATCCTGGAACAGCTTGTGCCTGGCTAAAAATTCCTTTGGGTGGGATAAATTTATCTTAGCCAATTCTCATTAACTCTATTATTAAGGTTATTTTATATCATCAAATCTATTTTCCTCTTGAAAGTAGAGAAGACATACGAACATCTTTTTCTGAATGTTATGTCAAAATAGCATGAATACAATTTATGTAAATATACCAAGGAAACTCTAAAGTGCTGTAAAAATTTAAAGGATAAACGGTCTATGCACAAACTTTTTTTATGCTTCTATTTGTTATATACTACTAGACATTAAGTATTGTTCAACAATTAATAGACAACATGCTTTAGATTAATACAACATGAATTTTCAATGTATGAGATACATGCAGCCAATAAACATTTTATTTTTCTCAGCTGGGCCTATGTGCCCAGCTTTTGCTCACTATTGCTTTATAAACTTAAGGACTTTTCATAAGATGACTTTGTTCTCATCATCTTATTGAAAGTAAGCATACACCATTCCTAAAATCATATATTTGAATTAGACTGTTCAGGTCCTTTTTTGCATGCTTTTAGGTACAATATTGCTAAATCATTTATTTAATGTGACGTTAGCCTTTTTTTAATGGAAATGGGGATTGAGCCCAGGATCATGTGAATACAAAGCGACAGCTATACACTGAGCCCAGCTCTGATCTTAGACTTGAAGAAATATGAAACTAACAGAATTTGAAACTTTGGAAATCAAAAATGTACCACAAATACATTTTCTGTAGGAACATCTCTTCCTGTTCGACCTACTTTGATAACCATCATAATTTGTTTTGATTTTTTATCCCTGGAATATCAAGTTGATTTTTAGCAAGTTAAATCATTGCCTAAGCAATCACTCATAGTAGCCCCCCAAAATGCTGAAATAGCTAAGGAATTTCTACATCCAAATAATTGAAGATATTTTTTCTTTCTTCTTTACATTTTTAAATTCTCTTTTGGTGTGTGTGTGTGTGTGTGTGTGTGTGTGTGTCCACGCGCCTGCGCGCACATCCGTTGCTAAACCATGAAAAATTCTATTGAAAAGGAATAGGACTGAACTTGTTCTGCCCTATCATCATATATACTTAAATTTAAAAAAAATTCATCCTTCTTTGTTCAATCCATTATGCTTATTGAAAGGCTTTTCAATTTTAACAGATGTCTAAAGAAATGGTTTGAAGAAAATAGCCCATTTGAAACAATTTAAGGCAAAATTAGACTACATGCAAGATTATGTAACGATTTGCAGCACACAGAAATTCAACTGGGAGGAAGACATTTTGGAAACTAAGTAGAGAAAACTGTTAAGAAACAAATTGAGTTTAGTATTTTCAGAGTCCTTCCAAATCAATGTGACATTTAAAAAGAAAATATTAAACAAACCAAACTTAGAGATACTATGACAACAATCTCTCTCACAGTTGGTACTGGACCGTTTTTAAAAATTTTATCTTATTTGTGTAATCATTTTTTAAAATTTTATTTAAAAAAATGCAAAACAAAAAAAGTAGAAATAATGCATAATTTCAAAAAAATAAGCAGTAAGAAGTCACTAGTTCATTAAATTATATATTGTCCTCTTAGAAAGTTGTTCAAGTAACAAATTAAAGCCTAGAAAGTGAACATTCGAACAGTGAGACTGCAAACTTCTTTTTAGAATTCCTTCTAGTCATGCTATTTATAATTCCAGTGACAAACAAATGAAGTATAATCAAATCAGCTAATTTTTTAGGTTTGTGTTCTTATACTTGCTGTGCTAGTTCACTGTATCATCTATTTATTCTACAAATAATGACATTTCACTTGTCCTCCACCTACATGAGCAGATTTATACTTCTAATTTCTGTCTTTCCTACTCTAATAACTTTAAGAAATATAATTAAATCATTACATGTTAATTCCAATTTTTGGAAAATGCATCTCAGTCACAAGCAACTCCATTCTTTCACATGAATGAGACATCAGTTATATCAAACAAGCTATAAGTGACTGATGGATTAGAATATCCATGACAGATATTTGCTACTTAGGACATACCATCCATATACAGTGAATTACTTGGTATGAATCAAATAAATCTGAAGCAAAAATCCCTCACTTGAAATTAACTCATGCTGTCAATCAGACTAACAATTAATGACGGTGTATTTCCCCAATGATAGTAATAATACTTTATCTTTTAGTGCCTGGAGTACTATTTTTCCAAATGATAGTGCATAATATTTTACCTTCTAAATACCTGTACAATACTAAGCATTAGTAAAGTTCTGTGCTTTTGGAATAGTGAATATGAGCATTTCTGGGTGAAAAGTAATGCCACTATAAGCTACTAACTTCTTTCTTCCCACAAGAAACATTATTGTGGGAAGATGATGATCTTGAAAGATCCATGTGAAGTGTATGAATGTTTAAATAAGGGGAAAATAAATCCATAAAAATAACTTGTTGAAAAAAATAGAAAAAGCATTCACAATATTAACAATGGTACTTTAAATATTTATGCCTCAGAAAACTGAAATCAGTTTACTCCTGCTACACATAAGTATTTGAAAATACATCCTCTATGTTCTTGATTTTGAAATATGATTTTCTGTCTTTTAAGATATTTGATCGGATTGTTTTTTTTCATTTCAAAACATTGCAGTGAGGAAAAAATGAGTTAGAATTATTCTATAGAGTATAATATTTTAATTTATTACCATTAATCTGTCATAAAAATAAAATAATTCTTAAAATGATACTAAATACATCAACAATAATAAATTTTAACACAAATAGTAACACAAGTAAAATATTGAATCTGTAATTTACGGTTGGATATTTCTACCATAATAAATTTGAAAGAGTGAAAAAACAATAAATGACAATGGCTTAATTAAATTTTAAAAAGTAGAAATTCTTTCCAGTTTTGTAAATACAGCTTTGTATATTACACAGTTAGAAGATAAAATCAATGGAACAATATTTGTCAATTATATTACAATATAATTTATATTTATTTTGTAATAAATATGACCATAGT